GGAGAAGGGTGACACTGGGAGCCTGTTGCCTTCGGGGGAGGGGGGAGCTTTCTGGTCCATGGATCAGCCAGAGACTGTCCGCTGCCTGCCTGTGATCCGACCACGGTTCCAGCGGGCTGTCTCGAAGCCCTGAGCTACCTTTGCTGTCTCTCACGGTGTCCAAAGGAGCATGCTGAGGGCCCGATCGAATCCGCAGCCATGAAAAATGCGCCCGCACGGTGAAATCTGGTCCGTGGCGCGCATGGACCCCATACTGTGCCGATTTCACCGGAGACTGTCCGCTGCCTGCCTGTGATCCGACCACGGTTCCAGCGGGCTGTCTCGAAGCCCTGAGCTACCTTTGCTGTCTCTCACGGTGTCCAAAGGAGCATGCTGAGGGCCCGATCGAATCCGCAGCCATGAAAAATGCGCCCGCACGGTGAAATCTGGTCCGTGGCGCGCATGGACCCCATACTGTGCCGATTTCACCGGGGAGTTTCTCTCCAATTGGAGATCCTGCCCGAAAGGGAGTTGCGGGGGGGGGTCATAAGATTATTCTAGAGGGGTTGCGTTGTCGCCACCTTTTACTTCTGCACTGCCCTCGAAGCTTGGTGTCCGCAGCGAGGTGACTCGGAGCGAGGACCCGTTGCAAGGCCAATGCAGTAACATTTCAGGCAGAAATCCCAAAGGGGACCGATTTTAAAATCCTGTGTCCATGAAATTGACCAAAATAGACTGTGAATGGTCGGAGCCCTAAGCTTGACCCAGCAGAGCTGGGTGTGGCGCTGTGGTTTCTAGCTGGATTAAGTCAGCGCTTTAAAGTCTTTGGCCATTTTCACTGACAGATTGACCCACAAATACTCAGTCCTGCGTCTGCAGAGAACCAGACAGGTTGGCGGGCAGGGGTGGGCTCCGGGTGTCGCGTTGAACGGGAAGGAGGGTGTAAGCTGCAGGTTGGGTGGTGTCTGTTCTGCATCTGAGCTCTCAGCCTGTTGGGTCCAAACTACGTGCTGGCCGCTTGCCCGATTTTTTTGGGGGGTGGCGGTTTTATGAAGGGGGGCCGGGGAGGCAGCAGGTATCACCTGTTCTCTGTCTGCCCCTGCAGATTGAAAATCGCCCTGGCCAAGAAAACAGGCCGCCCAGAGTCGGAGATCATGGGTTTGGACGAGGGGCCCAGGAGACGCAGCTCTCGCATCACGGAGGAGAACAGCAGCCTGGAGGCAGAGGAAGAAGAGAGCTGGGGACGGAAATCCCGCAAGGACGAGGAGGTAGCAGTGTGGCCGGGCGAGGGAAGCAGGGGTGGCCGTCTCTGGCTTTCGGAGGCAGTGTGGCTTAGTGGTTAGAATGGAGGGGATGGGACATCTGGGTTCTTTCCCCAGCTTGGCTGACAAGTCGCGCTCACTCTTGCCTCAGTTTCCGCATCTGTGCTATAGAGGCGGTGTCACGAGGGTGATGGTGAAGGGGGGAACTAGAGCCCAGAGCATGCTTGGCACGGGGGGGCGCGGGAGGGGTTTCACCCTCCTGACCTTCTCCTCCTTCTCTCAGGGCAGCATCTCTGCGTCTAGCGTCCCCGAGCTGGAGAGGCAGATCGAGAAGCTCACCAAGGTAAGGCCGGCCCGGGTGAGGGTGGGGGGCTGTCGGCCTGCGGCTCTGGATT